TGCATTTAAAGCTAACAAAGCTTAGTGCCCTTGCTTTCAGGTTACAAGAAGCCACACAGAAGAAAGTTCCATGCCAGTTTGCCGGCTTGCAAAGTACGCGCCAAGATTCAACGTTTAAGATGAGAATATTACAGACCCAACACCTCACAGAACGCACTAACAGCAAAAGAGAAACGAAAAGACAAAAGGTAGGCAAACAAGTGCCAAGTTTCGTTTGCAGCTCGAAGTCCCTCCTGGAGCTTCTGAATGACGTCTTCCATCACCTGTAGATCCTTCTTCTTGAGGAACCTCTTCCACTGTTTCATAAAACCCAGAGCCATGTGAGCAATAGATTCAGGTGACTTAAGATGAAACAAAAGACGCCAGTTTATCAAATGGAGACCAGAAGGCAGTTTAGACAACACAAGTAACGATGATGAAGAGCTCAGCTTTACGGTTCATGAGGAGACATATCTTTTCCATTTCCAGGTCAGTATATTCCAGTATTGCAGAATTTTGCAAATCAGCAAACGTACCTCTCATTTTTTCTTCGGCAAAATCACGGCCAGGTCTCGGACGGTCTTGTTGTACTCCTCTTGCTGCTCAACTTTCTCCTTGTTGGTTGCGCCTTCTTTTTGTTTCAGACCATTCCACATTTTACTGCTGTCCGCGCCCCGTGTAGTGAATTTTTTGTTTGAAGGTTTCAGTTTTTCTTCAGAGTTGGGTGTATATTCTGGAGAATGGGGCAACGGTTTATCGACTCCCTCTGATAGACCATAACCAAACAACCTCATCATTCTGTAGTAAACGCACCGTCTTCTGGTGGCTTCAGAACAGGTCACTGCAATGGTAGCCAAAGCCTCTTGTCTTTGTTCCTGGGAGTACCGTCCAGTGTCATCCGACAGAACCTTATACACGGAACGGAGTGAACTGTGACCGATTTGAAGTTTGGAGAAGTTCACTTGCAATCCGTTTCTTCCATAGCTCGAGTTATAGGGCAGTTTGTTGGTGTACTTGTGAATATCAGCCCCAGGAATAATGCCTTTCAGTTTTACATCACTGAACAACTGCCATCTTGTTGAGCTCAGGTATCCCTGCAGATACATATCACAGAGCCTAAACAAGAATTTCAGTGGACGTTTGAGCGTGGGGTTACCCTTACAATCCAGTATGTCCTCTCCGTGTTCCCCAGTTTGGTAGAGCCCCCACAGCGCTGCTGGCCGAAGCACGAGAACAATATAGCCATATCCAGGAAGAACAGCCAGCCATTGGCGCTGGTGAGGGCCCTCTGTTCAGGAACTGTGCCCGTCCGTTCTCTTTCGCGGACTGTCTTGCGACCTCCATGAGAAAACATTTTATCATACGTGCATATCTGGGCGCCATAAGCTTCGGGTTCTCACTAGCTTGAAGGTCAATTTGAGGGAACTAAAAAGAAGAGAAACAAGTATATCATTGGTCAAAATTCTATTTCAAAATCAAAATTTTCGAATAGCTTGAACGAATTCAAAGTACGCCCATATATATAATAACGTACAAAACCAGATAATTTACAGAACAGGGGTCGCGCTTGCAACTTCAAACTCATAAATCTTTGATCACCGAACAACGTACAAATTTGGCCATCTAGTTGATTTGACGGTGGGTTTGACTGGATGACACGTGGTAGTGGGCACACATGTGTCTGTCGTGAACTGTCTGTCGCACTCAGCACTCGCAAAACATCGTCGCACCGATGTGTCTCCGGGCCGGATCCGCTCGCGTGCACTGCCTTGGCCGGTTGGCCCTCCCCGTAGCCGCGTGGCTCTCCTTGCCGTGCTTGCAGCTCGCGCCCTGTGTTTTCGCAGACGTGCAATACGACGAGGCGCACACACTGCCACCTGCCGCGCAGGATGCCGGTGCCGGCTCGGAACGCGTCATGGCCGCTGGTGCGTCACGAGCGAGCAACGCAAGCAGATGATCGCCGATCGGTGTCTTCATCTTGGTCTGCAGGGCGATCGAGGGAGCGGCCTCGGCCAGCCGGCCGGCCGGCACACGTCCGCGCCACCTTGGCGTCTCCTGCGTTGACGGCTGCTGGACGCCGGCCGGCGTGGCGCCATCCTCGGCCTGCTGGCAACAAGTTACGTACGGACACACGCATATATATGCCAACACATCGGTTCCTGTCTTTATTATTATCAATCGATGTCATATACTACATACATACATACATGTGTAAATATACTACATACATATATACATGTGTAAATACTCGCATTGCAATGCGTGGATCGATCGATGTCACAATCCTCTCTGACGGTTAGCAGCTTCCGGTCCTTCTCATGAAGCTTGCAGTAGTCAACATGACGGTTAGCAGCTTCCGGTCCTTCTCATGAAGCTTGCAGTAGTCAACATTGCAGTAGTGAGTAATGGTGCTCCGCAGTCAGCGTGTATGTCACAATCTCTGATGGGTGCCATAAACTAGTAACATTGTTTCGTTCGAGTAGTAAAAATGTAGCAAGTCTGGTCTTAATGTAATATAACCATGCACAACAAGTGTATCACATATATATTAATGATGCTATAATACATTCTTGACTTGGGTTTTTTTCGTGCTATTCAAGCAATTCAATACAAGAAGAATGCAAAAACAATAGAAGATCTAGTTCCAGCAGTGCAAGAGGTAATTTGATCAAATTGTTCACACATGTTTCATTGTTTCATCAACTACAAATTTGCTCATCCATTCATTCATTTGTTGCACACTTGTTTTGTAGGCATTTCTAGAGTACTCGGCAAAGAAAGCTAATCGAATGTTTGTAACACTACAAAGTGTTTACATTGAAGCTATGAAGGTGAAAGGATGCAATAAGTTCAAGATTCCTCACATGAACAAAAATACACTAGAAAGAGAAGATCGGCTGCCAACTTCTATCCCTTGTGAACCATCTTTGCTTCATGAAGCCGAGGCTACTCTTGCTGCACCAAACAATTAGAATGATGCTAGTTAGCTTAAGTAGTAGAGACATCCTTGTAAAAGTTAATGAGAACTCAAGCTTGTTATCTTACTGATGCTTTGGCGTCATCCTTCGCGGCTGCTAGCTTCTCGTCGAGCATCTTGATCACGTGTGCAGGTACCTCGATAGAATTTCCATGCATCACGACATTGTTGGGATCGGGAATGAAAATCTCGCAGTCGAACTCGTCGAGGCCGTAAAGCATGGCGCCGAGTTCGTACTCCCTGTGGACGAGACCGCAGCGAGAACACGGCCAAAACCGTGGGTGCGCACGATTCCATGCTTCGCGGTCCTCATGGACGAGATGACAGCGAGCACATGTAAAAGCGCCGGGCGGCAAGGAATCCGGCACCATCTCGGAGTCCGGCGCGAGCTCCTGCAACTCCGGCATGATGGAGTCCAGCACCATCTCCTGCGACACGATGGAGTCTGGCACGAAGGACTCCAACAGTGAGTCTGGGACGATCTCCAAGGCAAGAGAGAGCTTCATGGCGGAATCCGGCGCCACCTCCTCGGACACGATGGAGTCCAGCGCCATCTCCTGCGGCACGACGGAGTGGACCGGCGAGCGCGAGCAGCGAGTGGCGCGGCTAGCGGCGCGGCGAGCGGCGAGCATGAGCGGCGCAGCGAGCAGCGAGGCGAGCGCGAGCGCGAGCGGACCGGCGAGCGCGAGCGGCGCGGCGAGCGGACCGGCGAGCGCGATGAAGCCATGCGCGCGACAAGCGGACCGGCGAGCGCGAGCAGCGAGCGACGCGGCGAGCGGCGCAGCGAGCAGCGAGGTGAGTTGGGGCCGAGCACGAGCGGCGCAGCGTGCAGCGATGCGAGCTGGTACTCGAGCGGCGCGCGGTTTTAAGACGCAGACGACCACACGAGAGGGCGAGCGTCGCACGTGCGGCGTGAATCGAGGCGAGCGTCCCACGCGCGGCGCTGAGTAATTGCACGCAGAGATCGATGAGCCAGGGCAAACAAGTCCAGAGGAGGGGCTACGGCGCTAGAACGACGTTTTATCCGTAAACTACGCGAGGAGCGAGGACGTCGTTTTATTTGTATATGGAGGGAGTACTGGCTAGAACAAGCCATATAATGGGTACCAATCACGCCCTATGTGAAGATACTAGTAGGTTACATATATTTCCACTTAATCATTGCATATTGGACTGATTTTTTTTTGAAAAAACTATATTGGATTGTTTTGACATATTCGTTTCTTGCAGTTGCAAATGTTTATTTAATGGGTATCAATTTCCTGTGTTTTCGCAGACGTGCAATACGACGAGGCGCACACATTGCTGCCTGCCGCGCAGGATGCCGGTGCCGGCTCGGAACGCGTCATGGCCGCTGGTGCGTCACGAGCGAGCAACGCAAGCACATGGTCGTCGATCGGTGTTCATCTTGGTCTGCAGGGCGATCGAGGGAGCGGCCTCGGCCAGCCAGCCGGCCGGCACACGTCCGCGCCACCTTGGCGTCTCCTGCGTTGACGGTTAGCAGCTTCCGGTCCTTCTCATGAAGCTTGCAGTAGTCAACATGGTTATTGGTGCTACACTGTTAGTGAGTAATGGTGCTCCGCAGTCAGCGTGTATGTCACAATCTCTGATGGGTGCCATATGCCAACTAGTAACATTGTTTCGTTCGAGTAGTAAAAATGTAGCAAGTCTGGTCTTAATGTAATATAACCATGCACAACAAGTGTATCACATATATATTACCAAATAAATAAATAACACAAGCACAGATTGAGTATATTAACTTACTACAGTACGTACGGTCGACTCGACCCTGATTTAATCTGCGTCCACGCGCATGCATGTTCACTAGTGTTTAATGCCTGCTACTCTACTGCAGCTGGAGAGAGGAATGTACTCTAGTAATTTAATTTAATTACTGTTACTACGTACTAGTAGCAACAAGGCATGCACACGAAAATTAACAAAAGCCAGAGCAAAGCATGCACGACGCAGAGCACCTCCGATGGCAGCAACGCAGCACGTGACATGCATGGCCATCTCTCTTCTTCAGCTAGGAGACGGCTCACGGCTGCGGCGGCGCACCGGTGTCGTCGGCGACGTCGACGCTGGTGGTGCAAGCGAGGAGGCGGCGGAAGATGGCGCGCATGGCGCCGCAGGAGGCCTCATGCAGCCTCCGCACCACGGCGCACCCCTTCTTCTTCCTCCTCCTCCGCCGCCGCCTGCTCTGCTTCCTCCCCTGCTGCTGCTGGTTGCTGCTGCCACGGAGCCCCAGCACGTCGTCGTCCTCCCTGACGACTCTGCTCTCGCCGCGCTCCCTGACCGAGCCGGCGTCCGTGGACGACCCTCCGTTCCGCTGCGGGAGGAACAGCGGGAACACGGCGGCGCCGCGCTCCCTGACGCGGCCGAGGCACGCCATGGTGCGCTCCGGCACCGTCTCCTTCCTCTTGGAGAAGGTGTAGCTGCGGAGGTACATCTGCCGGCACGAGTAGCTGTCCACCACCCGGGGGCTGCAGTACTCCGCCGGCGCCAGCAGCTCGCCGCTGTTCCGCATGCTGCCGCTGCCGTTGTAGTAGTAGTGGTACGCTGACGCGCTAGCGCCGCCGCCGCTGGCGGGGCTCTCCTGCCCTCCTCCTCCTCCTCCCTGGCGCCGCGCCATGGCCACCGACTTGACGAACTCGGCGTCGGACTCGGGCCACTTGTACAGGCTCACGTAGCTGGCCCGCACCGGCGCGCGCGAGTCCACGCACCCGATGGCCGCCTTGCAGTTGCACCCGGCCGCCATTAATGGCGTCCGCCGTCGTTCGAGCTAGTCGGCCAGCTACCTATCCAACTATCTAGCTTACTGATCTGGTTGCATTTGCACCAGCCGCGCGCGCCGGCCGGAGCTCGCTGTCAGTTGTGGAGAGGAGGCGGTGATCGGTGTGGGTGTGTGGCCGGGGTATATAAGGGAGACAGGGCGACAGGGACTGGACGACATGGGCGCCATGTGAGGACTGAGGAGGGACGACAGGGTGAAAAGGTGGTGGAAGGAGGAGAGCCCTTGGCTTTGGTTGCAAGGAAAGGTGTTGCGATTTTTGCCGCGAGAATCATATGGCATCATCATGCATCGTGGTCACTCTCGTGCTGTGCAATGAGTAGTGCCTGGGGGCGGGTCAAAATGTGAGGCCTTCAGCTCTGAGAGTCTGAATAATCCAGTGCAAAGGTGAAACAATGTCAAAAACCTGACATGAAGTAACTTGCATGACAACTGATCAGTTTGGTCGCATTTTCGGTTCTGAGGATATCTCAGTTTGGTCAAGGTCCATGGGTTGTTAACTTGTTATATTGTTCGTGGTTTGGCAGGAATTTAGACATGAAGTTCATTATTAATCGTGTTAATTATGTGGCGTGTTCGACGGCCGCGCGTATTATTTTTTTTTTCCTGTCAGGAAGGTAGCCTACCATGTCGATGTATCAAATGTATGCTTGCAACAGTGGAGTGGACATGTATATACATCAGCTGGATAGAAGCTATACTCCCCGCATTTCAAAATGTGAGATGTTTTGGTTTCGTCCAAAGTCAAACATCGCTAACTAGATAGAAAAACATACCAGTAAACATCTATTTCAGCAAATCTACAGCTTTCTATCAATTTGCTCAGACTCGAAGAAATGTGGGCCCTGTTCGGCTTACCATATATTCGGTTTGTTCGGCTTCTTTTTTTCAGTCGGAATAATGTTTTTCTCTCACAACAATTCAGCCGGAACCGTATTTTTCAGCCAGTTTCAGCAAAGTTTCAGACCAGCGAACGGGGCCCAATTTGACTTAGGGACACAATCTTGAAAACTTCACATTTTATCTGTTGGTCAGTTCCATGCATGGCAGTATGATGAACCCTGCCTGACCAAGCAATTGGGTAGATCCGCGTGTTGAGCTCAAGGAAGACCACTGACAGAGGCAAGAGCGTGCATGGATTGAAATGATTTTGTATTGAAACCTGTGGTTAAGGGCTCATGATGCGCATATTCAGGGTGCGTATTCCAAGGGACACGCCGCTTACTGCAGTGGGCTGTAATTAGGGACATGGCAGTATGTTAATGCTAGTAATACATAGGCTGGTAGCTGTTGTACTGGCCATTTGACTCTGCCAGGCATGTATCAGTATTCAGGCCACGTTTAGTTCCAAACCTAAATTTCTAAAAAGTGCTACAGTAGCCATCACATCGAATCTTACGATACGTGCATAGAGCATTAAATGTAGACGAAAAAAAAACTAATTGCACAGTTTGATTGAAAATCACGATACGAACGTTTTGAGTCTAATTAGTCCATAATTAAACACTAATTACCAAATAAAAACAAAAGTGCTACCGAAACCAAATTTCCAAATTTCACCGAACTAAACACAGCCCCGTAGAAATGTCAAATGTGAGGTGAGGCAGGAAGAAAGGGACAGGACACAGGTGCAGTATGGCCAGAGAGAAACTGAGATTCCCAGCAGTAGTGAAAGCAACAGGTCTCTAGTAGCTACGTAGCTCCTTTCTTGATGCCAGTGCCAGTAGAGTAGCACGTCCCTCGTGAACACTCAACAGTAGGGTAGCTGCACTGAGCTTGAAAAATCTGCACCCATGAGCTGGACACTTGTAAAACTTCAGTTTCCTGCGATTTCGTTAGTTTATATTTGTTTGTTCAGAACGGAAAGCCAATAGCCAATAGGCAGGTCCAGTTACGAAAAGGCAACAATAGGCAGGTCCACAGTTTGTGAACTGTGATGCGGAGTTGAGCACGCACTAGCAAAGTGACCGAAATGATCGGTTGCCCTTTTTAGTTAATCACAATCATACTGGATTGAAGCGTGCGTTGGCAAGAAACTGTTAGCTTTGTGCTGGTGCCTGGTGGGGTGGCGTGGTGGTGTGTAGTGCTGGATTACAAAAAGGAGGCCTTTTCGTTACCTGGGTAAATCTTGTTGGAAATTAAATTATTCAGACCGGGTACCTTTATTTTTATTTTTATTTTTCTTATTCGTCACTTACAAGTAATTCAGGTCTACATCTTTGGGCTATATATATGTATGGGGTCACATGCAGCAACGAGGTATACATACCCCTCATCCCTGTTTGGAAACTTTTTTTAATCAATGCAAGGAATAGAGTTTACGTTCACTAGCTAGGAAGAAGAATACGGCAGTAGCTTTATTTTGTCAACAACTACTCAGCATGACACAGCGTAGCACATATAGGGAGGAAAAATTAACATGACTAAGAGCAGATGCAGGCAGTAACTAAAAAAAATACCTAACTTCATCTCCTACATATAATTGGCCTCATTGCCCTGCAGCATGCAATCCTGGCTTGTTCAGCTTGTAGGGTCTAAAGAATCAATAAACAAATTTGTTACTTATACAACCTTTTTTTTATTGAGTTACTTATAAAACCTTGTCATGTGCAATGCAAAACAGGGGCACGGTACGTTTAACAACTGAGAATTTTGGAATATAGGGAGAAATCTATTTTTCACCTTCCAACTATTGTCCGAGTTTAATTTTGGCCTTGCAGCTCCAAAACTAGAAATCTTTAACTACTGACAATCAATACCGGTTAAATTTATTTGGCCATCTTGCTAGTTTCAAAGGTGGTTTTATATTTTCTAAAAGATCATAAGTAATTCATTTTAAATTAAAAATATGAAACTAATGTATTTTTAAAAAAAAAAACGTGTCTGCTGGTGCTAGATTTTGAGTAATTTAATTTGGATATTATTTGTAGTGGTTCCTACTGTTTTATTGCTCATAATAATCAAGCTTTTTATTTATTTATATCACCATTTTGTGCTAAAATACAAATCCACCTCATCTAGTCTAGATGGATAAATTTGTGACAGGTAGGTGGTCAGGGATTTCTAGTTTTTGATTTGAGTTGCGTGAATAAAACCAAACTCAGAGTCTCTAGCAACAGATTGAAGAAGACCAAAAATAGACTTCTCCAGGGAGGGCATTGTGAAGCACAAGGCTAGGCGGGTCAATATCGTGTGTCGTCCATCCATGATCCATCAGCCTCATCACCACTCCGCTCGGCAATGACATCAAGATTTCAAGAGCTAACCGCGGGCAGCAGCACACATGCATGGCCATCATTATTGAGGTCACCCATGCAGCATGCGCGCCGGCACCGCCGCATATGCATGCAGTGATGCAGTGTACTAGGAGTAAGCTGTAGCACTCTGAATGGACGATCGTCAAAGGCAGCTACTACGACCTTCCAGAGATTACCAGTCGTCGTTGGTTACGAGTATAGATGGCCATTCGGGCCGCCCGGCCTGGCCCGTGCTCGGCACGGCCCGGAGGTCATCAGGCCGGCACGGCCCGTCAGGTGCATCGGGCCGTGCCATGCCGGCCCACGGGCAGCACTAACGGCCCAAGCACGGCCCTAAAAGGCCTCGTGCCGGCCCAATGGCCCGACTGGCCCAGCGTCGCAGGCAGCGCTACACAGGGGGATCGTCGCCATCGGCCATCGCGGGCACTCCGGTCCCTCAACGGCGGCTACCGCAGCTGAGCAAGAAGCATGCGGCCTGCAAAACGATAGAAGTTAGAACAAGCTACACAAAGTTTCCCATCTAGATGCCCGCCGCCGAGATCTAGATGCGCTAGATCCGGACGGCCAGAGGGGGGAGGGAGCCCGCCAGATCCGCCCGAGGCCGGCCGCCACCGGGGTTGCCAGCTCCACCGGGTCGCCAGATCCACCAAGGGAGAGGGAGGGAGGAGGGAGCCCGCCGGATCTACACGGGGGAGGAGCTGCTCCTGCCTGATCTGCTGCCGGAGTTGATGACGATGCGCGCGGCCGCCGGTGTGGAGGTGGTGGCGCTGGATCCGCTGTCGAGGAAGGTGCAGGAGCTGCTGCTGCACGGATCCGCGTGCCCATGACCCGCGCGAGCCCGCCTGCGCCGTGGTGGTCTCCATGCTTGTGAGCCAGCCACAGCCTCCAAGCGCGCCTCTTGCGCCGCGCCGTGGCCGCTGAGGAGAGGGAGAGGGATGGGAGCGCACTGGCCGTGGCCGTGGGCGCTTCGGTTGTGCTTTCGGGATGAGGGAGAGCTAGAGGGATGGAGTTGCGCCTGAGGGGGAGGGAGAGAGCCAGAGAGATGGAGTGGCGCCCAAGGGAGACGGAGACAGAGGGTTGGAGGGCGCGGCACCTGAGGGAGACGGAGAGAGTTAGGGTTTTGATTATGCTCAACGATATATATCTGTGAAGTCATTTTGGCCTGCAAAGTGTCGGGCCAGGCCAGGCCGACAAGCCGCAGTCGTCAGTGAGGCCCAGGCACGACCCAAGGGTCGGGCCGGGCCAGCCTTAGGCCATATGGAGTTACGAGTAGATCCACAAAACATGCATGCGCCTTTGACTATCCAGGAGGCCGGCAGGACTGCAGGAGCACAAGCCTGAAGACGCGTGGTAGCACAACTGCACAAGCAGCAGCAGCAAAATGTTCACTGACCAAGTGACGAGACACCATCATGACACAGACAGACAGGCAGAATAAGGTAGCACAACTGCACAAGCAGCAGCAGCAAAATGTTCACTGACCAAGTCACGAGACACCATCATGACACAGACAGACAGGCAGAGTATTCTGAACTTCTTCATTCTCAGCTGGTCCTGCTGGTGCTCTCTGGCGCCGCTAGCTGTGGGTTTCTTTTCTTCTTCTTCTTCTTGCATGCAACCTTATATACCTTGGCTCGTACTGCAAGCAAAGAGAGACGGACGGTGTATGAGCATGAGAATACACATGCATGGTATATATGTATAGAGAGA